GTGCAATTAAATTTATTCTATTCTTCAGCTGTTGCATTTCTTTGTCATAAGTGCTAATATTCAGTATGACGTAGCTGGTTGCTTGGCATTCTCATCTTGGTTAGCATCTCACTTTGTGAACTAACCTAAGGTCCTAGGTTCATTCATAGGTAGAGAAGATGGCCCTAAAGGGCAAAGTAGATGAAAAATCGAAGAGAGTCCACCCGTCTAGCATTTCTTTTGCCCTTTCCCAATTTACTTAGATTGAATTAGAACTTTTCTTTTTTTTTTGTTGAGAAACACAATTCAGATGATATTCTGTTCTTTCTCAGGAAAATGTCCTTTGGATTTTTTTTGTACTTTTCCTTTTTTTTTTCTTTGATTAATGGAAATATATTCCTATTGATCTTCAAACTTCCAAGGAAAATGCCCTATATTGTTTGAACTTCTTTTCATTATTTCTATATTCTACTGTTCAACAGGTAAAAGCTGTTGCAGAGGAGTTGGGAATTGGGTTTTTAGGGATTGGTTTCCAGCCCAAATGGGGGCTGAAAGATATACCTATAATGCCAAAGGTATTATTTTGCATGCCCACTTGCTTTTATGTCATGGGAAAACATTCATATTAACACTTTTGTATGCATGCATGTTGATGAGGTACACATTTGTTTCTTTTAGAAGTTATGGCAATAAGGGGAATACCCCAAGGATAGAGTGTGTTTTCCTTTGTTCTTTTTTTCCCCTGATGAAGCCATTTTCTTGAGCAAAGTATACTTTTATTCTCTCTGTCTCTTTGTTTTTGTGTGTGTATAATTACCGCACACTTACTCCGGTCAGTCCTTGGCTTGTATCTCTTGTTCTGCTCTCCTCAATAGAATGTTGTCTCATTGCTGAAAAAAAAACTGGATGTGTATTTCAACTGGCTGCAAGATCAGTTGGGTATGCTGGTTCAGTAGTATAATCTGGTTTTGATCAATGCCCACAACCATCAGAGGAGCCTCACTCTCTAGTTCATTCATCTAATTGGATAGTTTGGTTTGGGTATAAAACATTGAATTAGTGTTATTATTTCATTTATTTATTTATTTTACGTATACTCTCTCGGATTAACTTCTTTTATTTGTTTCATTTTGACAAAATATTTTGGCTCAGGGAAGGTATGAGATTATGAGGAAATACATGCCCAAAGTTGGCTCTCTGGGACTTGATATGATGTTTAGGACATGTACTGTTCAGGTGAGATAACTATCACATGCATGGTGAATGGTGATCAGTTTTTTCCAACCTGGAATTTTAAAGGCTTCCTTTCAGATGTTCTGTGAAGTCTTACATTTTCACAATTTCATCGGAAGATATCCATCCATTTTCATGATTTTTTTTTTCTTTTGATTGGTGAGGATTTAGTTACTGTTGAGATGTTGTGATAGGACCTTTTTTAATTAGTCAAGAAACTAATGGATGAAAGTTTCTCCTTTTTCTAGGTTAATCTGGACTTCAGTTCTGAGTCAGACATGATCAGGAAA